ATTCTATCATCTGATGACAGAACGTACACTCGTGGCGACATCTCTGTTTTTAATATCTAACAAATTTTTAGACCGATCCAACCTCACTTTCTTCCAATTAAATTCTTTGTCTATGGTATTTTTTGGAAACGTAGAAAAAGTATAGTCTGAAACACGTTTGGAATTGCATATTCCCCTCTCGTGAAACCGTCAAAACTTGTTACAGAATATACTATTCTTTTAACTGTAAACGCAAATATTTCAGAATTGGTGAAAAACAAAAATGTTTACGCAGGTCAGGTACAAAGTGAAAGATATTTAAATTGTGTGGATATAAAAACAACTTAGTTAGTTTCACGAAATTTATTAAATATTGACAATTGTTTCGCTACACAGTAGCTTCTTCAGAATGTATTAAACTAATAATTAACAAAATTTATATAATACAAATATTTTTGTATTCTAGCCTAGAATTTCTAGGTAAGGATTTTTAGACGACATCTACCTGTGTTACATAATATAAACCACTGCCAGTACAACGTTTAAAACGATTATTAATCCGTAAACACACAGTAGAAACACGATATGCAAAAACAAAGATCATATGACATATAAAAACAAATGGCCGACGCTAAAGTTGGTTGCCTAACTATACAAAAAAAAACAAAAAACTATGTAATAAAATAAAATAAATGCCTAAAACACGAACTCTACTGAATATAAGTAACAAGCTAGGACACGCCGCGTGTCACACGCGTCATATGTCCATCTTTGTCCAACACCTAGGCAGTTTTACATCACAGATGGCGCATTTTAGACCGGATGCTTAAAAACCTACGTGTGAGTACATTTACCGCTGCATCGAATGTACAAGACAAGTAAAACATTACTGCTAGCATGTCTGTGATATGTTCGGCACCCGATGAGTCACTTTCATATATTGGTGGTTTCTACTGTACAAAATACGTAAGTATGGAAAATCACAACTTTATAACCTAGCTCCCAGATAGCTGTTGATCCTGTATTTCCACAGACTTCTTGACCCCAAGAAGACTCCCCCCTCTTCCTTTGATACTACCAACTTATATTCATTAAGGTCTGTTCCAACGCATGAGTAAGTGTGACAAATCATTATATGATAATAATTATATTTATAAATTTTAAAATAAACAAGATAACCATTTAATTTACTAAGTCATCTGTTCTGTGCTGTGGTTGTTACCACCTCTTGACAGCCAATTTCAAAAAGTAAGTAGTTGTGTAGAATGAAACATAAAGTAACCTAACTAATTTTAGATCTTATAGACAAAAATTAATTAGGGCAATACTAAAATGAAAACTTAGATAATAAGACTGAAACTAAAACAACCTAATCAGGATCCCCTAAACAGTGTAAACATAACGCATTATGCTAAAAATAAATATAATGGCTTAGATTAATAGAAAATAAAGTTATCCGAAAGAAATGTGACAATACACTTGGAACTAATGATCCTCACTGCAAGGAAGCCGGTGAAAATAATCTTACTTATGTTTTTAAATTTAAAAAGGTTACGGTTAAAAAAATATATTTATTTTTTAATCAGTTTATTAAAATTCAATTATTACAAATTAACGATAACACGATAGTTAGCTACACAGGCATCTGACTTAACATTGTTTTAAACGTAAGGCACTCTATAAATATAGGTCAATGGCGTTTGGTGCATTATGATTAAATAATTATATTACACCTTTCGTCAGGTCAGGGCTCTTAATCTTTGCAAACCCATGGGTTTTTGGACAAAGTTTGACAGCAATGCTTTCAAATCGCTTACAGTTCCATTGCAACGCCCTTACGGTTGCGTCATCTCTTGAATAGGCAATTATTTCGATTAAGTCAGCATTAAACCAGTATGCCCTAGCTGATTATAATATTTACAATTTTTAGTGTCAAAGCTGAAAATTAATTGCGTCTGCCTATTACTTTTTGGTTGGGAAAATGTTACAAAATACCAAAGTCTCTTCTATACCCTTTGATTTTCGTAAACCAAATATCAATTTCAATGACATCAGGGTCGAAATAGGGCAAGGTCATGGATAATGATGTCGCAGCTTGCAAATTGGTGTACCTTTGAAAGATCGACGCTGTAGATTGTTTCATCACCATAGGGGCCCCAAGTGTATTTTGGTTGCCCTCTCCTGTATCTATCTTTTTATCATGTGTTTTTTTGCATGTTGCATTTAAACTGTAGTGTAAATACTGCAGTTAAGCTTAGCAGGGAAGCATAGGTCTTGTTGGTATTGCCAGGATTTGGAAGTCTTGCTTGTGGTTTCTGCTGGTTGTTTGGGTTTCTTGAGCAGATTTTTTGCGGTATGGGCTCTTTCGCAATTTGGCACTTAATTGGTTGACTTAGGGGTTTTCTTCAGGCTCTTGTTTCGTTTTAAGCATCTTGGTATAGCTTTACAAGTAGACTGCCCACTAGGATAAGGGGCCTTCTTTCCTTTATGATCCTGACTTAAACTTTATTGTTAATGCTGGATTAAGGTCTCGTAAGTCGTTGACAACTTTCTAGATCTTCACTTCCATTGGAAGGCCATGAATGATAACCTGAAGGAGCTTCTTTAAGAAGGTGTGAAATTGTTACTTATTAGTTTTAAGTGTGAAGGTGTCTATGGTTTCTGGAAAAAACTTATTAGCCTCAGATGTATTTACGGCTTTATTAAGATGCCAACCCTTGTTGTTTAATTTCTTGGATACCACAGTCCATCTGTTTTTGGTCCTAAAAACAATTGGGGGTATCTTTAGGTATCGGTTTTGTTGTTGAGACTGAAGCTGGTGAAGTATATTTTTTAGCATTTACGACAGGTGCAACGGATGTTAATTTGTATTCAAGGACGTAGTAATTGACTTACTTGGGGTATCATTTTTTGTTCTTTTACGCTTATTGTTGTTTAGTGTTTGATCAATAGCCATTTATTCATCAGTTTGTTTCGGGTTTGTTAAGAAAGCTCCTAGGTTTAAAATTTGTGCCTGCAGTTGGTCTATCTAGCTGCTCTGTTTGTTCAGCAGGGCAGTTTAAGAGGCTATTTGCTTCGTCAGTGAGTCTACCATTGTAGCAAGAACAGATATCGAATTTTATGATTGGATACGAGAGGCGAAACCTGATTAGTACAAATCAAAGTAAATAAGGAAATCGGCCATTGACGCCTAACAACTAATAATTAGGGTTATATTTTTTTTTATCTGTTGATTTATATGTGCCCATGTTATAATAAATTATTTCAGTATCGTTTGTTGATGACAATAAAGTTTAGTTTAAAGACCGGTTAAAGATAAAATATTTTATTATATGTAAACTTGTTATGATTTTATTCGTATGTGGTCACCATCATGGATGTAAAAAGAATCTTTTTTTCAAGTAAAAGGTTTTTCATTAACAGTGATTGCGTAGCGTTGTTACGATCCTGCTGTCATTTGTTGACGTACGTATTCTACAAAGCTGGTCATTTTGTAATGGAGAGATACACAAGTGCTTATACAATTACACCCCTGTAAGATCCAGTTGACCCAGAGCTCAAGCCAAACGATCATCTTTTGAGTCGACGTTGTGCTATCTGGGATCTAAAGCATATGGAAGTAGACCCTGAATTCGGTCAAAAAATCATTTTTATCGAAGAGGCTCATTTTTGGTTGAACGGCTTTGTTAATAAGCAGAACTGTCGGATTTGGGAAGAAGCAAACCCACGAGAGATCAAAGAGCAGCAAATGCGGTCAACAGAGAAAGGAACGATGTTACGGGATTTATTTTGGCGTTGATTGGTGGATATGGATCTAAAAAACATGTTTATCCAACAGGATAGTGCCACTTGCCATACAGCCCGTAAAACACTGGAATTGATAGCAGAAAAATTTCCGTGGGTCTGTAATTTCAGGTTACGGCGAAATCAATTGGCCAGCGAGATCCTGTGATCTTACTCCTTTGAATTTCTTTCTATGGGGGTATGTAAAGAGTCTGGTGTTTGCAAATAAGCCTCGAACTATTGAAGCACTCAGAGATAATATCCGACACGTTATTGGTGAAATAAATCCCGATCTCTGCCAGAAAGTAATCCAAAATTGGGCTTCTCGAATGGACGCAACCCATCGAAGCCGATGTTATTTTTTATACATAATGTCATTATATGTTCTTTAATCTAAAAGTAAAACACTCTTATTGCAAAACCCTTTATATTAACAGCTAGGTGAAACGGACATTGATGTAAATAAAAAAAACATGAAATAGTTCAATTCCTGTGCATTTATTTTGCTATAATATTGCCAATCAAAACAAAAAATATAATCTTACTAGAAGCAGTTAAATTTATATGTATTCACATAATGGCTACAATATTAATGCAATAGCTATTAAAAAGTAATTAAAATCATGGTCATATAATAGCAGTGGCGGCTGGTGGATTTTGGGCACACCCATATCTCAGTTATTAGAAATGGGACCCACATCAAATTTATATGAGTTCATAATGACATTATATAGACAAGTTCTGCGCAAGCAGAATTTAAATTAAAGTTTGCGAAAAAAAGTTAGTTTTTAACTGCAACCCCCAGCCTCCTGCCCCTCCAAATTAAGATAATTTAAATTAAAGTGGTACAATATTTAATTCACTGAAGTTTATCGACAATTTTCAAATTTTATTAAAAAAATTTAAGAATTACAGGTTTTATACCATTTATAATTTTTATTATTTCTATTACTAAATTTAAAAAAATTTGAAATGGTATAAAATCTGTAATACTTGAATTTTTTTAATAAAATTTGAAATTTTTTGATAAACTTTAGTGAATTAAATATTGTACCACTTTAATTTGAATTATTTTAATTTGGAGGGGCAGAAGGCTGGGGGTTGCACTTAAAAACTAACTTTTTTTCGCAAACTTTAATTTAAATTCTGCTTGCGCAGAACTTGTCTATATAATGTCATTATAAACTCATATAAATTTGATGTGGGTCCCATGTCTAATAACTGAGATATGGGTGTGCCAAAATCCACCAGCCGCCACTGTATAATAGTGTAGCACGTTTGGGCAATTTGGTTTAAAATTGCCCACTATTTAAATTAACAATCCTAACATAAAAATGCAATAATGCTTTTTTTAATTTGTAAATTGAAACAATAAAGCAGAAGGTGTTCTATACGGTATAATATTTGATGGGCTGTGAGTTTTATTAACCCAATAGTCTCTACCATTAATATTTTTAATTTTATATCCACCTTTTACAAATTGAGAATTAAATAATGTATTATAAGGTGGTGGAGGTGTGACAAAACTTTTTTTCTGTGGTACAAAGTCAATATTATTATTTTGAAAGTCCAATATTTTTGTAGCTGGTCTTTTTAAATACAATGGTGGTTTGTTATGATAGAGTGATGATTTTCTTTTTTTGCATTTTTCAATTAGTATTTCAATAAGAAAAACAATTGATGATACTATTAGACCTCCTCCAACAATAATGTATGTCATGGACAAATCAGAATTCCTGAGTTGTCTTTCCTTATTTCCAAGATCTAATGGACATATTTCAGTATCCGGAAGAAATTCTTTTAGTTTAAATTTTATAATTCCGGATTCTACAAGTTGTTGTATGCTAGAAGAAAAAATGTTAAAAATATTATATTATTTTATCTATCACGATTTAATATGTATACTTAAGGCTTAAGAATAATGTTTAAATCTAAATCACATATAGGATGCCATAGGAGTATCTACATGATTTTCAAAATAAATAACTTTTGTTTTTTTCCTTTTTTTAGGTTTAGAAACTAAAGTCATAATTAAGAGTTTAGATCTTGTGAGTTTTATTATGGAGAAATTCATCATTGAATACCGAGCGCTTCACAAACGATTTCAAATTAGTCGAGGACAGGGGTGCTCTATCCTCGACAAGTAAGTTTATAAGAAAATAATTTTAAATTCATTAAAATTTTACGCAAGAGCGTATTTGCTCTTTAAAATACTTGTTAAGGATGGTGAGCCTACAAAACCAGTAACAACACATGCACATTTTACGTTACGATATATTATGTAGGTATAAATAGAAAATAATGTAATAAAACTTTCTTTTTTAACCACAACCTGCCTATTAGTTACATTGACCTAACTACCCTCAACATTCCCTAAACTCTACAAGAGTTTACATGGTCCTTCGAACCGGATGGTTTACATGGTCTTTCGAACTCAAAAATAATCAGTGAGCGGTAAGCAAGACCAGGGCTTTCTTCCCTGCACTCACTTACTGATTATACAACAAGCCAACCAGGGTAACAAACCCTTAAATTCAGAGGGCGGTAAGCCTTATCAGGGGTTTCTTCCCTGCACTCACCCACTTAGGTTAGCTGAGCAACACCAAGCTCTATTAACTACGGTTTCGCGAAAGGATCGAACGGTCGATTTGCAAAGGTTCAAGAAATCGATTGAAACTTTTTTACCTTATTTAAATAATTATTTCTACATCTAAATTTCAAAAAAAAAATCTCGTCCATTGACAACTTTGTTTTTATTTTTATTTTTTTCTTCGCTGTGTTAAAAATTAAGAAATTTCATTTTTTTAAATAACTTTTGTATTTCAAAACGTATCGATTTAAAATTTGGACAAAATGTAGATCTTACTAATGACAATTAATCCATGAAAAAATTTTGTTTAGATTATAACGTACGCGCTGGTGATAATTTAGTTTACAGTTTAACAGTTTTTAAAGGTTAAATAATTGAAGAGGCAATTTTGTTTTATAAATTTGAGTTTAACAAGTTAAAGTAATGATATTTGACTATTATTTGATATATTAACTTTTTATGCAAATGATGTTTCTGTGGCCAGGATCAGTTTTGAATCAAATGTTTAGTTAAGTACATTTTGTCATTTTTATACAAATATTGTTGTATCTTTTATTAATAATTAAGTATAGCATATCACATAAATGACGTTTAATATACAGGGTGTTTCACGTACTTAGTCCGTTGGCAGTTTCTAGGGAATCGCGAAAGACATTGATTTAAAATTTTAATAGCGTAATAGCTTAGACTCTATTCCTAAATTATTTTGAACAAAATAATACTTCTTGTTTTACTGGAATACCTCATATATTTTTACATTATTTTATTCTACATAAAATTCTGAGTAAAATGGCTATACCATATCCTATACCTAAAGTCAATATTTTTTGAGTTATTAATTTTTCAATCAAATATTTTAATTAATTTTAAACAATGACAGATATACATGTACAATTTCAGAGGTTTTTTGATACAAAATAGTATTGAAAATATTAGAAATTGTTAAATGTCTCTGAAATTTTAACTTTGGGAAAGAGTTACTATAATACCAATCGAATCTATTTGATTATGTTAAAACATACAGGGTTTTACATTTATAATAAAAACGTTATTATTGTTTGAAGTTTGCCTAATTTCAAGTGGTTTTTCTCAATGTATTTGTTGAAAAACCTAAACAATTTTGTTTAGGTTGTAATTTTTGGAATATTAAAACATATGTTTTAATATTCCAAAAATTACAACCCCATGTCAACAAACATAATAACAAACAAATTAAAGGCTATTTTTGATTAACGTGCATTTTAACGAAAAAAATTAATATCTTGAAAACTATTGACTTTATGTATAGTCTAAATCAAATTGTATATGCTATACAAATTTCAAATCCATATTGTGTGCGTTTCTCCAGAAACACCCTGTATAGCATTATATTAAATATAAAAAAGCAAAATAACTAATTACAAAAAATCGAAAAACAACTGAATAAAAAATATAGATATATCTAAATAGCCGATTTCAACATAAAAAGTCTTTATTCTAATTTATTTATTGGGTAAATATAACTTTCCTCAGTTAGGAATTAAAATTAAAGCTTGCTTATCGAGTAAAAAATAAATTGAACCTTGGTTGTGGAGAAAAAATAAAATTAAAGTAGGTTATAATTTCTAACTTGCTGACACTGTCTATAATTATTATTTAGTTTATTCATTTTAATAAATTAATATTTTAAGTTTATAGTACACTTATAAATTGAAACGCAATCAGTCATTTGCAACTTATAAACTGAACTGTTAAATTATCTTCCATGCTTCCAATGGTAGGTTACCATAGAGAAAAGTCTGTGATACCTACTATGATCAAAATTACTAAACTTAAAAAAAAATAAAATTTATAAATACCTAGGCTGAAGGACCCCGGTCGATGGCCTTTTGTATATTTTGTATTATATGTTATGTATTGTAGTACAATAATTGTACTGAATATGCAATAAAAACTTTATTTATTTATTTTTATTTATTTATAAATACCTAAAACTAATTTTAGCTCCATCTATGGCGATTTTTTAAAATAAATATGTAAGAATTGTATGTTATATATAAAATATTGTATGTAATATATAATACATAAAACTAATAAAACCAGATAAGTAGTTAGTATTAAGCTCTTTGAAGGCCTAACTTAAAAATGGTATCTCTCGTAGACACATAATTTGCATTCAGAAGTTTATATATCAAATAATAGTTAATTATCAGTACTTTAACGTGATATACTCAAAATTATAAAACAACGTTGCTTCTTTGACTTTTTAACCCTTAGGAAATGGTAAAATTTTAAATTAAATTGCCCACCGTGCCCCCTGTATGTTAAAATCTAAAAAAATAATACGTGGATTTATTGCCAATAATAATTATTATTGGTCCACATTTTATCTTAATTTCAAATCGATACGTTTTTAAATAAAAATGTTACTACAAAATATCGAAAGTTATCTATTTTTAACACAGTAAAGTGACTTAAGGCCTAAAAACCACAGCGGTCAATGGATGAAATTTTTTTTTGAAAAAAATATACCATTTAGATGTACAAACAAGGTAAAAAAAAATATATTCAATTCTGGCATCACTTGCAAACAAATGTCCAAAATTTGATCGATTTTTACGCGAAACCATAGTTAAGACCTAGGCAGTAAATAAGACCTAGGCCTAGGCAGTAAATAAGACCTGCACTTACCCACAGACTAATAGTTCTAATTCACACTCTTTCCTGTTCCTACTCTCAAAGTTCCCTATACTCTTCAAGAGTTTACATCACACAAACAAATAACATCAAAACCCTGTACAATGGAAACCAACAAAGTAGTTGCCAAACAAGAACAAATTGGGCAAGCCTTCTCCAAGCTATTGTCAAATTCAAAAAAGAACTTGTTGATAAGAAAAACGTTTTTTCCGTAATATATTGGGGTGTACACCCCAATATATTACGGAAACGACAGCCAAAATCGACGAATTTGTACAGCAATGTGCAGAAAACAACAAGAAGTTAAATTGAAGTGTACTTCCCACCAGTGGCGGCTGGTGGATTTTATATATACCAATATCTCAGTTATTAGACATGGGACTCAAACCAAATTTATAATAGTTTATAATGACATTAAATAAACAAGTTCGGCAACAGAATTTAAATTGAAGTTTGCGAAAAAAAGTTAGTTTTTTCTGTCGCCTCACCCGCCTCCAGGCCCCCCTTTTGAGATAATTCAAATTAAAGTGGTGCAATTTATTATCTACTATAATTTATCGACAAATTTAAAATTTTATTTAAAAAATCCAAATATTACAGATTTTATTCGATTTTAAATTTTTATTATTTATTTTATTAAAATAAAAAAATATTTAAAATGTTATAAAACCTGTAATATTTGGATTTTTTTAATAAAATTTTAAATCTGTCCATAAATTATAGTAGATAATAAATTGCACCACTTTAATTTGAATTATCTCAAATAGGGGGGCCTGGAGGCGGGTGAGGCGACAGAAAAAACTGCTTCCCACGTATACTTTACTACTAAGTATTATGAACAAATACTAAACAAGGCATAAGAGACAAAAAAACACCTGTCGACTTGTGCCAAACAAGCAGAATCAGAAAGTAAAACAAACAACGAACAAATTATTAAACTTTGTTAACATAAACTACGACTAAACTCCCTAAAACGCAACTTAAAGAGTTTAGGAAACCAAAGTACGGATATGAAAATCTGATGAAAAAACTGTCGAGCCACTGGAGTTCACTGCAAGAACTTCACGAAGAATTTACTGACCAGGACATCCAGGACAAACAATTTGAAGAAATAGAACTACTATATGATGAATATGTGGAGAAACTAGAAAACAAAATAGCAGAAAGCAACATTGAAAGTAAACCAATACTTCAAAGGCGGATACGAAAACTAGGCAACATTTCATGACATATTTAGTAAGGTCATTCATGAAAACAAGTCAATCTCACGCATTGAAATAATGCAATATCTAAAAGCGCATGTCCGAGAAGAAGCCACCCGACTGATTCAACATCTTCCTATTACCGATGGAAATTATAAAGCAGCCTGGGAACTTCTCAAAAAATGATACAAAAATACACGATGTCAGCAAACTAGTGTATCAAATCGTGGATCTTCCAAAAATTCAAGGTGAATCCACAAAACAATTAAAAGATTACATGATGTAACAAATGGATGTCTCAAAGCAATTGACAATTTTGACATTTTAACAGAACCACGGGGTCCATTGATTGGAAGAATTATCAGTCAAAAATGGG